TTTGGATAATTTTCAGCAAAGTCTTGCACATGATATTAATAATGTTTGATAATTTCCACACACTGTTGGATCACCTTTCTTTGAAATGGGAACAAATATAGATCTCTTCCAGTCAGGTGGCCAGGAGGTTTATCATCCAGATTTCTTGGCACAACTTTATGACAACATCTAGGGCAGCATCTGTTTGCTGAAATATGCCAATTGGTATGCCATCAATTCCTGAGGCCTTGTTTTTTGCCAATTCTTTCATTTCCTCTTAAGTTTTCAAATGTATCGGAGTGTAGCTTTTCATAGTATTCTGATATTATCTATTTAATTTCAGCTACTCCTGTTCTGATGTTACCTCTACCTTTTCTTACTTTGAGTTATTTGTGTCCTCTCTTTCTTTTGTTAGCTAGTGGTTTGTCTATTTTATGGACTCTTTCAAAAACCAGCTTCTTGTCTTGTTAATGGTTTCAGTTGTTTTTCTGTTTTCTATCTCATCGATTTCTTATAATTTCTTATTAAGGCTGTAGGATTAAAGTTATGTTCATGTTCTGTTTGATGAAGTTGTTGAGGTAGGTCATTAATTTTGCTTCTTTCTTCTTCTATGTTTGCCTATTGCTATGAACTCCCTCTTGAGGACTGCCTTAGCTAAGGATTGCCTTAGTATCCCAGAGGGTTTTAAATGTTCTATTTTCATTTGTTTTGAAGAACTATTCAATTTCATTTTTTATTTATTCTCCAACCCAGTAGTGGTTTATCAGGATGTTATTTAGCTTCCATATGGGTGGGTTTTATATTTTATTCTTGTCATTATTTTCTAGTTTTATTACATTGTGGTCTGAAAAGATACTTCATAATATTTCAGTTTCTTTTAATTTGTTGAGGTTGGCCTTGTGTCCTAATATATGATCTCTTCTAGAGAATATACCATGCTTCCTTGAAAATAAAATAAAATAACTCTTACTTAGTGCAGTCTCCTAAATACATCCACAAGGTTGAGGTGGCTAATTGTGAAGTTTAGATCTTCTGAATCATTATTAAGTTTCTTTCAAATTGGCCTATCCTTTGGTGAGAGTGATGTGTTAAAGTCTCCTATCTTTTGGAAGCAGGAGTGGCATCCACTTCCTTAATAGGTTGCCTTTGGTAACTCTATGAACTTGGAGAAACGATCTACGTTTTCAGGTGTTCAGGTCTTTAGTTCATAAGATTGCTATGAGTTATCTATGACTTGATGGCACTTAACAACAACAACAACCACACTATTGTGCTGCTATTTCTTTATTCAGTCTGTTAATCATAATTTTATATACTTTCCAGGTCTGTCCTTTGATGTGTATATATTGACCAATAATCTATTGTGCCTTTAACTATTATATAGTGTCCTTCCTTATCTTTTATGGTGATTTTCATCCCAAAATCTATTTTATCAGAGAATAGTATTGCCACTCCTGTTTTCCTTCTGTATGCCATTTGTTTGGTATGTATTCTTTCCATCTTTTTCCTCATTTCTTATATGTGTCTGTTGTAGGCAATGTATTGATATGCTTTGTATTTGAATCCATTATGCTACTCTTTTTTCTCTTAATTGGTGCATTTAAGCCATTCATGTTAAGTATCACTATTGACAGACCAGGTTTATTGCTGCATTTTTGCAGTGTTTCTCTTTCTACTGTTTCTGGTTACTATGGTCCATCTACTTTCCTTTGGTGTCTTTGTGTATAATTTCCCTTAGTATTTCTTCTTCTTGTTGTTGTTCTTGTGTACCGTAGAGTCAGAACTGACCCATAGCTGACCCTTTGGAGGGTTTTCAAAGGCATTTAATCACATGGGAGGAGATTTCCCGTCTTTCTCCAATGGAGTAGCTGATGTCCTGAAACCCTGTTCCTTTGTGATTGAAGTGCAGCTTCTTGCGGGTAGGCCACCAGAGCTCAGAATTAACCTTCTTTTCACAAGTTCCTTAAGTTCCTGCTTTTCTGCAAATGACCTAATTCCTCCTTCATATTTGATGGATAGCTTTGTTTGGTACAGAATTCTCGGCTGCAGTTATTTCCTTTCAGTCTTCTGTATATGCTGTTTCATTTTCTTCTTGCTTACATCGTTTAGCCTGAGAAATCAGAACTAATCTTATTATCTTTTATAGGTAAATCTTTGTTTTTCTCTCACTGCTTTTGGTATTCTATCCTTATCTTTTATTTTGGAGAATTTGACTGTATGATATGTCTTCATGTTTTTCTTCTGGGGTCTGGTCTGTTTGGGGTTCACTGAGTTTCTTGAAAGTAGATTTCCTCATTCTTTATGATGTTGTTGTTGTTGTTGTTGTTATGTACCGTCGAGTCGTTTGCGACTCATAGCGACCCTATGTACAACAGCCCTAAGCCGTGTTCTATCCTGTGCCAATCTCATTGCCTCTGACAAACCCATCCCGAGTACCCCAGTCATTGAATCAATCCACCTCATAGAGGGGGAATTTTCTTCTAGTACGTCTTTCACAATTATTTCAATTTTTTTTCCGCACCCCTTGTGTTCTGGTATTATGATCATGCCTATATTATTCCTTTTCACGTTATCCTACATCATCCTAATGTTTTCTTCGTTTTCCTTTCATCTTTTTTCTGTGTTTTTTTTCCCTAATATGTTCCTATTTTGGTTCTTGTCTTCCATCTCACTGACTCTCAGTTCCATCTCTTCTGTTCTACTTTTTTGTCCCTCCAGCATGTTGGAAACTTATGCCATTTCATTTTTTATATTCCAGATTGCATTCTCATGTATTTCTGTTATTTTTTTAGTACTGTGTACCTCTTTATCTACAGTTTGAATTCTTTCTTCCATCTTTTGCAATTTCTCAGTAGTTATTCATTTTTCCACCTTGATATCTTTTGCCTGGTATCCTGTCTCTAGGGTACTCACTTTACTTATAACTTCAATTCTTTCTTCCAGCTTTTGTGCCTTATTCAGTAGCTGCTCGTATATCTCCATATCAATACATTTATTTTTCCTTCTTGTCTCTGGGTTATTTATTGGGTCTGCAATATTATCTGCTTTTTTAGGTGAAGGCTTGTTTTATTTTTCACAATATTTGAAGCAGCCTGTTGCTTTATGGACATTATGTGACGTTTTTCTTGGGGTGTGTGAGGCCATTTCTATTGTGTCTGTATAAGTTTTCTAAAGTACTTTGTCTTTATGATGCCTTTGATTAGTTGCAGATTTTAAGTGTTCCGTTTATGAAGGAGAAAAGCTCTCTTTACCAGGAATCCTTTCTAGTCCTGAGAAATGGAAAAGCTTGTTTTTCCTAAAGTCCTTCAGCTTCTCTTTGGTCTGCAGTGCAGTCCTACAGGAATTTTGCCTGAATGCTACCATCTCTCCTGAAGTCTGTAATTGTCCTTAGTGCTGTACAGCTCGTCTGGAGACAAGATTTCCCCGAGGACTTCACTTTCTACCTGGGATGTAGGGAGGTGGGAAGCCCCAGGTATCTCTTTGCAGCCACTCCCTCAAGTCCTGCATAGCCTGATGAGAATCTCACCTGAATGCTGCTCAACTTCCCAAGAATGTAATTGTCCTTAGTGCTCAGCTCAGTGGGAGACCAGTTTTCTTGTCACTTGTAGTTCTGTGAGTCAACCAGTTTGTGTTTTCTGGAAAAAATTTTTTTGAAATGGCATTGCCCTAGATACTTCATCCTCTCAACTCATTGCCATTGATTTGGAATCAACTAATAGCTGACCCTCCAGTGGGTTTTTAGTTGGTTTTAAATCACATGTGAAGAGATTGTCCATCTTTCTTCCATGGAACAGTTAGTAGACTTGAACCCCCTTCCTTTGGACAGTGCAACTCCCCGTTACCCATTAGGCTTATTGTTGATAGATACCATCATGTTGAGTATGACTCACAGCAACCCTATGAAGAACTATCCGTTGCCATCCTCACACTCTCTGATACACTCAAGCTCATTGCCACAGTCATCGTGCCAACTCATCTGGTTAAAGATCTTCTCCTTCACCATCCCTACATATTCCAAAGCATGATGTCCCTCTCTAAGGACTAAATTCTCATAGAACGTGCCCAAACTATGTGGGTTGAAGCTTCATCATCTTTGCCTCCAAGGAGTACTCTGGCTGCACTTTCTCCAAGACATGCACATATATTTGTTCTTTTTGCAGCCCATGATATCTTCAGCACAGTCCTCCAATACCATGACTTTGAGGCATCAATTCTTCTGTCATACTTAGTCATTATACAGTTCTCAGAAGCATAGCAAATTACTAACAAGAAACTTATTGCAGAAGATTAAACACTGCAACATTCAATATGTATTGCATCTCAATGTCAAAATAACAAAAATCTTTATCACTGGAATTGGTGACAGCAACTAAAAACAGCAATAGTTATCCTAATCCCTCCAAATGGGCATTGGCATTTGAGCCATTTAAGGTGGCTTATTTTTGAAAGCTTGCCATGATATTGAAAACCAAGCTTTTCCCATCCTTTCTGCCCAGAATCTTCTCAATGCACCGGACAGTGGTGACAGTGGACACTCCTGGCCCACAGAGTCTGGTGACCACAGAAAAGTCAACAATCCAAATCTGGATCATCTAATCCTCCATTCTCCTGGCTTTTACAGCCCGAATGGTGAGGATATGGCCATTTGCATGGTAAGGGTCTCTGGGTCCACTTGGCTCAGTGACATGCATCTTCCTCATCTAAGTACTGTCTGAAGAAAATTTCATCTGTAAGAGGTACTGTTTTAGTTTCCAAATTGCCTCCTTCAGGTGACAGATGAACTCGAGAAGTGGAGAACCTCCTAAATTGGCCCCTACCTGTAACCCTAGCTTTGTACAACTTGGTTAACATGTCTCTCTTCTAGTGAGGCCATGTCTGAGGATTGGAGAGTGGAGATGAGGGACACACACAGCACATACTAGAGAAACTAGAGGAGAAAGTTCACTGACTTCCCATGAGTGCTGAGGTACGACCTTTGCTCTTATCACTAGCTATGTATGATCACAGAGGCACAGTGTAAGGGCATGCTCATAAATAAGCAATGATGACTTTATTGCATTATGGAAAATCCTTATCCCTGGTTACAGAATCATAGAAGACTTCCTGCATTCCTTACCCACCACTAAAACTCTGAGGCCCCTCACTCCCACCAGAATAGAGTCCCTAGGAGTCAGCTATTTATACCTTGAGTTTTTCATGGGTACAAATTTAGCTGTAGCCTTGGTTCCTACTTTTCCTAAGATGGAATCTCCACCTGTGCTCTGGCCCAAATGCTGGCCCTCTTCTCAGCTGCTGAGTGTCTGAGACCCCAATTTGGCATGCAGCCTTGTGTCCTGCCTTTACCTCCAGAGACCGACTTCCTGATGCAAGTGTCCATCCCACAATGAAGGTCACATCTCATCTGAGGCTGTCGCTTCTAGCCACCCAGATCCTTCCTTACTTTGGACTAATGGCATAGTTCTGTGGTTGTGGTAGATCCCTGATGGCTACTGGTTCAGTTCCCATCAGAGTGCACATCCATTTTCTGATGACCAACTGGCCCAGCACATGCTGCTGAAGCTACCCCCCCACCCCCCGTCAGCTGCCTGCCAGGAAAACAGCTCTCCCCAAGTTAAAGGTCATTGTTTTCACCCTTCCAATTATGCATAGCTGATACGCTACTTGAGAGCCTTGAAAAGTCCTCACTATTTGGGCTTAATGCCTCACAAGGCCAGTGTTATAGACTGAATCATGTACCGTCAATCCTAAACCCTTATATACATGGGCTAATTCCATTAGGTAATAGGCTTGTTTTTGTGGTTTGGGGTTTTTGTGTTGGTTTTTTACCCCCCCTTAATGAGTCCATATCAGTGTAGAGTGTGTTTTAAGACAGCTGGGCATCCCTGCTGTACTTTATGACCTTGAAGCTGGAAGGGATGTCAGATGTTGTTGGTTGGGGCTGCTCTGGTTTTATCCGCAGCTTGCTGTGGTTTTCCAGGACCAAGGCTGAATTGCCAAAGCAACCTTTGAATTCAAAGTTTGGAAAGGTGAGGAAAAATCCTCCTCATCATCACCAGTGTCTCATTCATCACTGTTATTCTAGGCAAATTTAAGAGAACTAAAGGTCTTCTTATTCTTGAGAAGAACTGAGTTGACTTTTGGCCATTCTTTAGTGAAGTTTGATGAGCCAAGGATCCTGAGGAGGGGGCTGTGCTCCATACACTGGCTGGATGCTGCCCGGTACCTTGGCACTCCTCTTGTGAAACTGCTTGCTGTTCTCAGAGGCCATTGCCGTGGTCCGGGAAAGGCATTGTAGGTGGGCCTGGGGGTGGGTGACCTGGCGAGATATCCACATGACCCTGCAACTGGAGGGCCAACCTAGGCTGCTTCCAGCCTGCTGATCACCAGCTCCAGCTCCTAGAAGTGCCATCTTGGAAATCTAGAGAGTTTTTTTAAGCAATAACATTTGAAGGATAAAAATAGATCAAGTACAGAAGCATGAAAGCACCAGTAGAGTAGGAGCAAGGCCATGCAATTGAAAGGGTTTCCCTCCAAAGGGGACAGAGAGAGAATTCTCCGAGAGTCAGTGCCTCAAATTCAGACTTCAGGACTTCTAAACTATAAGAAAATGAACTTCTGTTCATTAAAGTAGAACACTTGAATTTCCATTAAAACGGCATGAAGTGTCTTAAGACAGGCCTTATACCTCTGCTTGTAGTGACGCCTTTACATTGTATTTATTCTTCACTTTCTTCCCCTTACTTCTACTCATTTGGCCTTCTTCAGTGGGTGAGAAAATATTGTCTACTTTCCATCTGTTTTATAGACATCTGAAAGACAATATGATCTTCTCCAAATGAAACAACCCTTTGCTCAGAGATGTAACAGGATTTCTATTCTGACTGTTCTCTGGCATGCCAGTTTTCTTCTTCAGATATGACATTTGGTGTTTGGTAAAATAGTCCAGCTGTGTCCTGACACAACAGAGAAAGCAATTATTGTTGCCTTTGTACTTGAAACGCTTTAATAACCAATTGCTTACTCAGTGTTCATCCAGTGGAGCTCTCTGGAACATCATGTCTATTAGTCCAGTGATGGTCCTATGAGTGCAGGAACAGACTTGGAGGGCAGAGACCCCATCTGTGTGGTGCCTAGACTGTGTGTTGAATACTGTAGGCTGTGCACAGGCTGCAGCAGAAGAGAAACATGAAGCTCTCCATGGATGGGAGGCACTTGCTGTTCCAGGGGAGCCAGGAAGGAGGAGGGTGATTACCAAGGTGTAGAGGGGAAGGCACACCAGGAACTCACTTAATGCAAGACTAGGGTTAAGATCTGATTAAAGTTGTTGCCTCTCACCCTAATCCCCTTGACAAACTGATCGGCTTATTGCATCTAGTCACATCATTACAAAGCTCCCAAACCACAGGTTGACATATATTTTTGGGAACATAGTTCAGTCCATGAGAGATGTTTTTCTGAAATTTCTGTCTGTGAATTCAACTACCACATATAATGTGACACCACATGCTAACCTAAGCTGTTTATTATACAGCAATAAAGAGTTAAGCAGCATAACAATAGTTAGTCAGAGAATATCTAGTTCCAGGCACATGTTCAAATCAGGTGTGCTTCAAAAAGGTAATGAGTTTTAGGTATTTTTAGTTTTAGTTCTGTTTTGGACAGTTAATTCTCAAGGCTGCTGGAAGAATAATTACATTAGCATTTAAAGGAACCCTAAGACCTGTATCAATGGCAATTATATACACTTGACTTTGAAAACATTCTGTCTTTTTTATGTTCTTTGCTGCTGTCTGCTTTACACACTTATCACTGCAAAGCCAGCTACTTACTTGGGGGTGGTTTTTTTGGTTGGGGTTTTTTGTTGTTGTTGTTTATGTTATAGTTGCATTAAGCATTTGGCCTTCCTTTTTCTTTGGCCTGCTTCCTTGTACATATGAGGTGACTGAAAGACCATGGCTTGAGCCAGGTGCACCTTAGTCATCTAAGTAATAGCTTTTCCTTTTAGAACTTTAAGGAGGTCTTTTGTAGATTTACTCAGTGCAACTTAATGTTTTATTTTTGTGACTGCTGCTTCCATAATCACTGATTATTGTTCATGGGAGAATGGTATTTTGTACTTTCATTTTTTCACTGTTCATCATGAAGCTTTGGGATTGGGTAGCAGTTGTTGTTCACTCGTGAAGACTTTCATTTTCTTTACATGCAGGTGTAATCAACCGTCAGTGAATGGTCCTCTTTAGTTTGAGCAAGCAGGGCTGTATCAGCAGCATATCATAGGTTATTAATGAATCTACCTCCAATGTTGTTGTTGTTGTTATGTGCCGTCAAGTCGCTTGCGACTCATAGCAACTCTATGTACAGCAGCTCTAAACTCTGCTCTGTCCTGTGCCAATCTTATTGCCTCCGACACACTCATCCCGATTGCCCCAGTCACCGAATCAGTCCATCTCCCAGAGGACCTTCCCCTCCTGCGCCTGCCCTCCACCCTCCCAAGCATGATGTCCCTCTCCAAGGACCAATCCCTCCTTACAACATGACCAAAGTATGTCAGACGAAGCCTCAGAATCCTTGCCTCCAAGGAGCAGCCTGGCTTAACCCTCTCCAGGATGAATTTGTTTGTTCTCTTAGCAGTCCATGGCACCTTCAGCACTCTTCTCCAACACCAAAGCTCAAAAGCATCAATTCTTCTTCTATCCTCCCTGGTCATTGTCCAGCTCTTCCTCCAATACTGATGGCTAATACTTCTTCATATAGTCTGGCTAGTCTGTCTTTTCAGTCTCTCCAGGAAACCACAGCACTAGGAGTCACTCTACCTTAGAGCAATATGCTGACATAGGAACACCTGGTAGGGGTCTGCATAAAAGATTAGAGCATAAATTAGGAGTACAGCAGGTTGGAGTCTGCCTGATGGCACTTGTCATGGGACAAAGCCACAGTGAAGATCTTGCTTTTTGTTTCCAGGCACTTTGAAGGCGCTCTTTCTCTTCTTCATCTCCCTGTGTGCCTGGTATTCTGGGTACCTGCTCGCAGAGCTGATTCCAGAGGTGCATCTGTCAAACGCTGTCTACAGCATTCGGAGCATTGGTGAAAAGCCTGTCATCAAAGGTACGTCCTGCACACTTGTCCAGAAGACAAAGTGAACAATTTAATTCTGGTGGAGTTTTTAGTCATTAGACAATTTCACTACTAACCCAAAGGTAGCATCTCCCTGCTGGTTCAAATTCACCAGCGACTGACTCCATAGGAGAAAGATGAACAGCTTTTGAGGGATCAGCTGTCAGTTTCCCCTTGATGGCAATAGATTGAGTTGTTGACTTTAAGAGACATCAGATGCTAAGAAGATATTTTATGTTGCAAGACAGAACTGTTTAAGTGGGTCAACTTAGAAGAAGGTCCACTCGCTAAATGCTTGTTGTTGTGTTGCTAGATGCTGTTGAGTTTGCTCCCACTCAACTCATGGTGACCTTTGTATAACAAAATTGAGCATGAACCAGTCTTTACCATGCACTGTCTTTACCATCGGTGGCTTGTTTGAGTTCTGTCTGCAGTCTGATATTCTGATCCATAGAAAACTCTGATTTTTTTTTAATAGATGGGGCACTAGGCCTTTATTCTGAGTATGTTTTAGTCTAGAGGCTCCACTGAAACCTGTCCACCTTGATGACCCTGTTGGTATTTGAAATACCTATGGCATAACTTCCAGAATCAAAGCAACATGCCAGCTACCATAGTATAGCCTACCACAGTGCAGCAGGAAGGCAGGCAGTGATGGCTATGGCTGCATACATCTATTCTTCACTTATTGATTGTCTTGTTATCCAGCATTTCACATTTATAACCAAGTACAACAACCTGACGGTTTTGTGCATGAATAGCATATATCTGGTAGTAATGGCCATTGAGGTCATTACTCTCGAATGACTAGGAGAGAGAAATGTTGTCTGTGGTAGTTAAGGTTATGTGTCAGTTTGGTTGGGCCATAATTCTGAGTAGTTTAGCAGTTATGTATTGATGCAGTCATTCTCCATTTTCACGTAATGCTGACATTTGCATAATGGCCTAATATTTGCAACTGAGTCATGTCAACACATGTGGAATGGATGGATTATTTTATCCACTTTATAATTATTGGGTGTCTGGTATGCCTAGGCACAGGTCCAGTAGCCAAGTGAGGATGCATGGGGAACAAAACAGGCAAGACCCCCTACCCTTTTTTCATTCATTTTCAATATTTCTCATTGCTTTTCATATAATACCTTTACAGTATGTTTGAGTAATATACATTGTATTTTATACAGCCTTTCATTTATGTTGTATTTCATACAATCATTTATATATATTCTATTTGACATTATTTTTTATACTAGTTTATTTACAAAATCCAAATACATTGTTTTTCATACCAGATCCTTCCCATTTCCCTCACCTCCTCACCCATCAAATTGTGTGACCCTATGATTAATTCTCCCCACTCACACATTCTCACCCCTCTACTTCCACTCTCTGCCCCCTTAAATCTTCATACTCCTTGTACAATAATGTTTTACCACAGGATACCCTTTAGGTGCTTGGATTCTCACTGGGGTAGATAATCTAAAAGACAAACAGGTTAACTTATTATATAAGGAGTTGATGGGTATTTTTGAAGAAAAGTAAGGCAGTATCATGAAGAATGGATGTGAGCTGTGTGATTTTCTTTTTTCTCCTTAACAAACAGAAATTTATTCAGTTATAGTTTTTTGTTGTTGTTGTTGTTGATTGCCCTCAAGTAGAACACGACTCATAGCAATCCTATGAACAAAAGGCCTGAAACCCCTCTGTAAGTATTGACATTTATTAAAGTTCATAGAGTTTCTGGAGGCATGTTGTTTAGGAAGTGGATGCCACTTCTGCTTCCATACCTGTCATAGTATGTTATGTGCTGTTGATTTGTCTGTGATGCATAGCAACCCCTATGTACAGCAGCTCTGAACCCTTCCCTGTTTTCAGCCAGTTTCACTAATTGTGAAATACCAACACCCATTGCCCCAGTTACTGTGTCAGTCCATCTCATTAGGGTTTTAGGAAGCTTAAATTCCAAAATCACCATGCCAACACTAGAGGGAAGCTCCCTTTGTTCATTGTGGACAAAAGTCTTTGTTTCCTTCTACATCTGTAGACAAGTCACTCTGAAGATTTCCATGTGTTCTTTACCTTCTTGGTGTGAAGGAGCTTCTTAGCAAAGCAGTCTGACTCCAAAAGGGCAAACTCCACTCCTGTCAATTATTTGTTGGTCAGACTGAGGTTCTCCTGAACAGTACCAGTTTCAACAGAGTGGCTTGAGAGTGTCCTAGAGAGGGGAAAATTGAGGAAGGATGGAAATAAAGGCAGGCAGTAAGTCATAGATACGGCTAAGATTTACCTGAAAGTTTGGATTGACACAACAACAGCAACAAAATAATTGGGATTGAATTGATTCCAACTCATGGCAACCATATAATCTTACATAAGTTTTTCTAGGCTGCACTGAGCAGAGTCCAGTTTTTTCTTTCCAGATGTGCTTTTGGGATCCTTAAAACTCTTTTACCACCTTGAGATTCCTGCAAACCTCTTGTACCATCTAGGGACTTTTTAGTGTAAAATAAAGGTTGTAAGTCGGTAGCCCTCGTGACCAATCTGGACTGCAGAAAATATTTGTTTAAAAAAAAAAGCAAAAACATGAGCCAAACATAGACCAATGGAGCAGAACTGAAAAACCAGATATCTATCTATGGTCAACTGATATTTGACAAGGAAATAAAACCTATCAAATGGGGAAATGACAGCCTCTTCAACAAATGCTGTTGGAAAACTGGACTGCTACCTGCAGAAAGCATATTGCTCTAAACGTTTTTGGAAAATTTTCAGCAGAATCTTGCTTGCATGTGATATTAAGGATATTGTTCGATAATTCCCCTACTCTGTTGGGTCACCTTTCTTTTGAATGGGAACAAATATCGATCTTTTCCAGTCAGTGGGCCAGCTGGCTATCCTCCAGATTTCTTGGCACATAGTGTCTGTTTGTGGAAATGTCAATTGGTATGCCATCAACTCCTGGAGCCTTGTTTTTTACCAATTCCTTCAGAGCAATTTGAACTTCCTCATTTATCACCATAGGCTCTTGCTCATATGTTGTTTCATGAAATTCCTCTGTGTCAGCCAATTCCTTCTGGTACAGTGACTCTGTGTACTCCTTCCATCTTCTCTTGATACTTCCTCGATCACTTAACATTCTACCAAAGTGTCCTTAAGTATTGCCACCCATGGCTTGAATTTGTTTTTCAGCTCCTTCAGCCTAAGAAATGCTGAGAGAGTTCGGCCCTTTTGATTTTCTGACTCCAGATCTCTGCACATTTCATTATAGTATCTTGCTTTGTCATCCTGAGCTGCCTTTTGAAATTTTCTGTTCAGCTCTTTGATTACTTGGTTTTTCCCTTTAGCTTTTGTCTTCTTGGCACTCCAATGCAATACTCAGAGTCTCATTTGACATCCATCTTGGTCTTTTCTTCTTTTTCAGCCTTTATCATGATCTTTTGCATTCTTCATGGACAATTTTCTTGATATCCTCCCAGAGCTCATTTGGTCTATGCTCATTGGTGCTCAAGGCCTCAAACCTGCTCCTGAGATGGTTTTGAAATTTGAGTGGGACAGACTTAAAGGTCAAATCTTGGTTCCCATGGACTTGACTTAATTTTCCTCAACTTCAGCTTGAAATTGCATATGAGTAGTTGGTGGTCTGTCCCACAATCAGCGCCCGGCCTGGTTTTCACTGTTGATATTGAGCTTCTCCAGCGAATCTTTCCACAAATGTAATCGATTTGATTCCTATGCATACCATCAGGTGAAATCCATGTGTAAAGCCTGTGTTTATGTTTCTTATAAAAAGTATTTGCAGTGAATAAATGATTGAATGTGCAGAACTCTGTAATTCTATCTCCAGCCTAATTTTTCTCACCGAGCCCATGTTTTCCTGTTCCCAACCTTTGTGTTCCAGACTCCCATTATTATCAACGCATCCTGATTGCATGTTTGATCAATTTCTGACTGCAAAAGTTGGTAAAAATCTTCTATTTCCTCTTCTTTGGCTCTAGTTGTTGGTGCATATATTTGAATGATAGTGGTATTCAATGGACTTCCTTGCATGCGTATGGATATTATCCTGTCTCTCACCACACTGTATTTCAGGATAGATCTAGAAATGACTTTTTAAATTATGAAACCAACCCCATTTTTTCTCACCTTTTCATCCCCAGCATAGTAAATCATGTGATCATCTGATTCAAAATGTCCCATGCCAAGCCATCTCATTTCACCAATACCTAGTATGTCAATATTTTTGCGTTCCATTTCTTTCTTAATAATGTCCAATTTTCCTACATTCATGTTTCTCAACAATCCACGTTCCAATCACTAGTGTCTCCTTACAACTATTCCTCTTTCTCTGGGTTTCCATTTCTAAGATCTCAGTTTCAATTTCCATGTCTCTTAGTCCAAATGATAGTCTAAGTGTGCTCTATTGTACATAGAGGTTTCGAAGGCCTGCCGTTTCAGAAGTGGATGGCCAATCCTTCTTCCTAGTCTGTCTTAATCTTTAAATATATATAATAGTATCTGACAGACAAGCATTCCACAGAAACCAGCAAATGAAAGTAATTTGCCCAGTTATAAAAATGACCAATACATAAAGAGGTACAAGAATTTTAAAAATCATCACAAGACAGAGGGATACAGAAACCAAGTACTGAAATAACAGAAATGCATGAAAATACAATCTAGATTATCAAGACTGAAATGACAAAACTTTCCAGTATACCAGAGTGACAAAAAAAGCAGGAGAGAGGGGATGGAATAGAGAATCAGTGAGCCAGAAGAAAAAAACCTCAATGGGAATATACTAGAATTAAAAACGGAAAGGGGATGGAAGGTCAAAGAAGAAAACATTAATTAGAAGCATGTGGGATAATATCAAAAGGAACAACACACATCTGATCAGGATGCTAGAACACTAAGGAGGCAGGGAAAGCACTGAGAAGATTGTGGAAGAGATACTAGGAAAAAAACCAAAAAAACCAAAATAACACAAAACC